TTTTGCAGGTAAAGATTACTCTAAAAGCTGCATGGGAAGACAACAGGACTGGAATAGCTAAAACAATTTGGAAAAAGATGAATTAGAAAGGAATCAGTCTACTACCTGATTTTAAAACATTATATAGCTCAGTGATCATACTGTGTGGTATTGGCAGAGGGATAGACTCATAGATTGACAGAACAGAACAGAGAACCCAGGAATAAACCCAACAAAAACTTTTGTTGACAAAGGTGCAAAAGCCATTCAATGGAGGAAAGACAGCCTTTGCAACAAATGGTGCTAGAGCAATTAGACATCTACATGAACAGATATGTTCCCAAATGAACTTTAACCTAAGTCTCACACCTTATACAAAAATTAAATCAAAATGGAGCACAGACTTAAATGTAAAATGTTAAACTATAATACTTTTAGGAAAAAACATAGGAGAAAATCTTTGGGATCTCGAGCTAGACAGAGTTCTTAGACCTGACACCAAAAGCCTAACCCCAATATTTAAATTAGTTTCAGATTTCAAAATATTAAATGAAATCCACACCTGTCTAAAATTAAGTTAGGTTTAAGTCACTTCTATAAATAGGTAGATTCTAGAAGTATAAGACGCCATTCTCCAGTGGAGGATAAGAAATAAAGATGTTCAATAAATGTTTGCTGAATGAGGCAATAAGATGACATTCTGGAGAAAATAACTCATCTATATTCATTCAATCAAACATTTATTGTGCATGTGTTATGTGTCAGGCACTGTGCTCAGTATCAGAGAATATAGTATAAGTAAACTTATATACAGAATATAAGCATACGTAACTTTTCACAAAAAACTCTACTCCCTCTTCTTAAAAGATTAAAATTGGATTCAAGTATCATGCAAGAAAAAAAAAAATACACTCATTTAACTTTCAGGTTTTTATTTTTTTAGACAGCTGGATGAGGCATCTACATTCTAGCACATCTTTAGTGAAAGATGACTTACTTATATATAAGGCAAGGGAAAAAAGGTCATGATTGTCCAACAGGGAATCTGAATCCCCAAATAAATTATCTTACAAAAATATCAAACTTGCTTTTCTACTTTTCTACTGTTAAAAATGAAAAAAGAAATTCACATTAAAAAATTCTGTAGGCTGGTATATAGCAAGTTAAGATAATCATTTTACACACTAAGTCCTTCAAATAAATATTTTACACAAATTTAAGTTGTCAAAAATAGGTCAAGTATTTATCCTTTATTTGGTCCGCCAAAAGACCATTTATAAACTGACATTAAACTGGACTGCAGTTCATACCTTTAAAATGTTAATATGCATATCACTGTGGCTGGATATGCACATGTACATGTTCCATACATGTGACGTGGCTAACACTGCTTGCATACTGCTTCCACAAGTAGTTTTACCCTGTAAAAGTCCTCTAGCCCAGTGGTTCCCAAACTTATTTGGCCTACTGCCCCCTTTCCAGAAAAAATATTACTCAGCCCCTGGAAATTAATTTTTTAAAAATTTTAATAGCAGTTACTCATCACCCCCAAATGCACCTGTGGCCATCACCGCCCCCCCCCCCTGGATCGCTGCAGCGCCCACCGGGGGGCGGTAGCGCCCACTTTGGGAATCACTGCTCTAGCCTATTATGAATCAAACTGTAAGAAAAGAACCAAAGAAAATACATTGCCTATTATAGACATTTGCTCAGTAATTACAAAAACTGCAAAAATTAGCATGTTTGGGGGACTTTAAGAATACTGAATATGTGATAAAATTCAATACTGCTTACAAATGCCTGATTATGAAGAACATATTCAACACTTAAGTGGAGAACACACAAGTGAATGTATATTACAGACTCAGGCTTCTATCTGGCCTAGTCCTGTTGTTTTATACTAAAGTCTTACATGACCCTGGATTCTTAAAAGATGGAGATTTAATAAAATAATGACACATTAAGTTTTTCTGTTCTAATAGCCAACTTTTAAAAATACAGTGGAAAGGTATAGGGCTTTCTGTATCTCCTCATATTTTAAAAGCCAATTTGTTTTATTCATTTTATTGTGATGTGACATTTTAATTAACACTATGCTAAAAATAAAAATGCATTACGCTTGTGTCCATAATATTCAAGTTTCTTATTGCTAAAATATTCCAAAATAAATCCAGTAAACAATTTCCATTTCCAATGGCTTAACTGAGAGATGAATCTAACATGTCTTTTTAAATAAATTACAACTAAATTGGGCTGAGGACAGCTACATTAAAACCCTGCAAACCAAAGCCAATCATCCAAAAGTCTAGAACACCAACACTTTCCATCCAGGATAGAAAAATGAGCATCCGAAGTAAAGAGAACCACAACATTGATCAAGTACCCAGTCAAAAACCACTTCTCTGTTATTTGAGCTAATAGTTACTCGAAGCTTGAAGTTTCCGCCTTCGTTATTATTGGTGGATCCTAGAGTCACAGCTTCAATGTCAAATGTGACAGTGGACCCAGAAGTAACGGCGGGCAATTGATTAGTCATTTCTTTTCCATTTACAAAAACTGCACCTAAAATGTTAAGGTAAAAAGTCATTTACCTGTGAGCAATAACTAAGAATTGAAATAGAGTCTAGATTATTCAGAACACAGCTAATTTCCTAATTCAAATAAAGAAAACATTTTGGAATGCCAACTGGTCAAAGATAATGCATTTAATTAATCCCCATCCTCATGGCAGAAAGGAAAGTTAAAGCTTTAAGTACATTTTAGAATTCTGGTCTAGGTAGAGTTCTACTTTTAGAACAGAGACTATGAATTTCCCATATGGATGGTATCAACAGAAGCTTGACTCCATTATACAATTACATCCTGTGGAATAGCAAGATTGTTTCACATGGAATGAACAAGAATCTCGTTCTACCTGCTGCTTGACCCACACCACAAAATATGAACATATCTTGATAGTGACTTTTGAAAGTGTGATTACTGTGAAGTAAGGGACCAAACAACATTAGAGATATATAACAAATTAAACCCCCTCCCTAGTTCCCTAATCTACGTTTAATTGAGACGACCCATGCAAGCAGGATGCAGAGGCAGACTCCCTGAAGCAAGTCCCAGCCCACCCAACTCCAGTCACTTAACCTCCCTGTGGCTCAGCCTTCATCATCTATAAAATGGATGTAATATTACTCCCCACTTCAAAAAGCTGTTAAAAGGATTAAATAATTTATATTTATAAAGGGTACAGAACAATGCCTGGTACACAGTAGCCATTTGGATATGTCATTAAGACCTATATCTTCTCATCTCCTGCTATAAATGTGTGATATTGGGCCAGACTCATATCTTACCATAGTAATTAATATAGAGAGATATGTCAAAGGACTGACAGTGACTTATCTCTTACCGTTTGTACTAATGCACACTGCTTGGTCCCGCTGCAGAGAGTCATATCCATTCTGCCTTTCCGCACACACTCCGATACTGTCTCTTCTGTCTGGTTGGCCCACAGTTTCAACTCTGTAAATGAGGGAGAAAGAATACTCAATCTTTTTTTTTTCCAAACACGATCTGTAACAGTTATTAAGCTTTAAAAGAATAATCTCATCACAACTGCTCTTAATAGCTAATAAGAATCTAGAAATTCCTAAATTTCAGGCACTGTTCTAAAAATTTATCTATAAATCACTTCATTCAATTCACAGAACAACCCACGAGGTAGGTAGTATTATTATCATCATATCCATTTTATACATGAGGAAATGGAGGCACAAAAGAAAAAACAAGGTTGACTAGACTGACCCCCATCACCTGGCTCAGTGGTGGAACTAGGACTCGATCGCACGCATTGTGACTGAAGAGTCTGTGTTAACTATTTAAAGCTATAACAGCACACTTCTATTTTATGTTCTGGTGCTGGACACATAGAAAACTTGTTATACTTGCCATTATAATAAGTCTGACTATTACCATCATCAATATGAGAGTCTAGCAATGATTTGATTATTGTTTATCAAGTACTTAAAGCCTTTAAGATAGACAAACAGTCTTTTAACAAGGATAATATGGCCTGGCTGGCATGGCTCAGTGGTTGAGCGTTGACCTATGAACCAGGAGGTCATGGTTTGATACTGGTCAGGGCACATGCCCGGGTTGGGAGCTCGATCGCCAATCAGGGTGTGCAGGAGGCAGCCGATCAATGATTCTCTCTTATCATTGATATTTCTATCTCTCTCTTTCTCTCCCTCCCTTCTTCTGTGAAATCAATAAAAACATTTAAAAAATAAATAATAAAAAGGATAATATGATTACAAACCTATTTTGCTTGTAGAACTTCCTATGTGGAAAGTTTAAGCACTTCCTTTTGTGTTTTAGTCTCAAATAATGCATCATCATGTACTCTAGAAATTAAGAAACCTAAATATAAAGGCCAACCTATATTGCTATTACCAGGCTCATTTTCCCCACCATTCCAAAACAGCAAACTTTGCTAGGATAGAAAAAGAAAAAGTGAATAAGGAACAGAATGTAGCTTTACCAAGGGTAGACTGTGATTATTTATACTCAGTGTGGCTTCAAAGTCTTTCGTGGTAAAGTGGGAAACATACAGGGTCATAGTAAATATGTGAGCGAGTTTCTGAAGTCATTGCACTTCTAAGCCAGCCGTCTAAAGACGTATGGGGAGGAGAGAGTGACATCAGTGCTATGGCAGAATAAAGTGCCAGCCCTCACTCTACCACAGAAACCCTGCTTTAACAAGGACATGCAGCCTGAAACAGCTGTATGAGGGTTCCAGAATCTAGTTGAGAAGCTGTAATACTCTAAGGGAGCACAGAGCTGAAAACAGCTGCACTGAAACGAAGAGGAAGAACACGTTCACTTTCCCCGTGCCAGCCTCTCCTAAGCCACCACAGCTCAGTGCCAGGCAAGAACACCTGGCCGCTGGCTTTTCCTTCAGGAGGGAGAGAGTAGAGAGTGCATCCAGCACTCCGACTCCGTGGGGGGTTCCCGAAGACTTGGCTTCTGCCGTGCCTCACTTGCAGCACTGTAGGAACTGGCACAGTATGAATGTCTGAATGCTGCTGAGACCAAAGATAAAGAAGAGTGGCATCCTGTAGCCCACGCCACTTGGCATGACTGGGAGAAGGCACATACATAACTCAAGGCTTCTCTCCTTTGGGAGAGAGGGAGAAGAGTAGAAAGTGATTCTGGTGCACCAGAAGCTTTTCATGGGGCCACACAAGGAATGGTATCTGTCTCACCTGATGTGGGGCGCTGATGAGGAGCCCACATCCTCTGGATGGCTGGTGGCATTTGAGTACAAGAGGGCACGGAAGCCTTGCTGCTTGTAGCACCAGAGAACTTGCAGTGCCACAAACAGGCACCAGAGGGAGCTAGCAAGGCCCTCTGAGAAATTGCACACACAAGCCCCCACCAAAAGATTTCAGAGGCCCCCTAGGATCTCTAGTAGGCTCATTTGTGAGAGTCCTCTCCTGTACAAAACCAGGCAATAAAGATAGGAAAGGGAGCTGTTTTCATGTGTGTAGATCCCAACACAAAATTACAAAACATGAAGAAAAAGGGAAATATGGCCCAAACAAAAAAAAGAAATGGATCTCCAGAAAATTATCCTAATGAAACGGAGGTATATGAATTATCTGACAATCAATTCAAAATAACCATCATAAAGATGCTCCACATGCTCTAGAAAATGAGTCAAAAACAACAAAGAGACAAAAACATATTTTAAACACTAAGTAATTTTGTAGCTGAAGAATATGATAAACTGAAAATTTCAAAAGAGGAATTCAATACCATGTTTAATCAGGCAGAGGAAAGAAACATCAAACTTGAAGACAGATTATTTGAAATTATCCAATCAAAGGAACAAAGAAAAAGAGTAAAGAAAGTCTAAGAGACTTCTGGGAGAAGAGAGAAAGGGATAGAATATTTATTTTAAAAAAATAATGGCTAAAAACGCGCACACACATGCGGGCGCGCGCGCGCGCGCGCGCACACACACACACACAAAGAAATAATGGCTGGCCTGACTAGCGTGGCTCAGTGGTTGAACCAGGAGGTCACAGTTCAGGCACAAGCCTGGGTTGCAGGCTTGATTCCCAGTGTGGGGCGTGCAGGAGGCAGCCGATCAATGATTCTCTCTCATCATTGATGTTTCTATCTCTCTCTCCCTCTCCCTTCCTCTATGAAATCAATAAAGATATATATATATTAAAAAAAAGAATCAAGCAATGAACACATAAATAAGTGGAACAAGTCGGTGTTTTACTCTGCCTTCCTCTTTCTTTAAAAACAATTTAAAAAATTTAAAAAAACTAAGAATTGGTTTTTAAAATTATCAACAAAATTGACAAACTTTTTAGTATATGAACTAAGAAAAAGAAAGAGAAGATGCAAATAAAGTCAGAAATGAAAGAAGAGTCATTACAACTGATGCCACAGAAATGAAAAGGATTCCTGAGACTTCTATGAACATACACCAAAGTTGGATAATCTAGAAAAAAATGGATAAATTCCTACAAACATAACTTACCAAGACTGACATGAAGAAAGAAAAAATAGATTTATAAATAGAAAGTAGATTAAATCAGTAATCAGAAACCTACACACACACACACACACACACACACAGCCCAGGACCAGTGGCTTCACTGGTGAATTCCACCAAACATTTAAAGAACAATTAATGATAGTCCTTCTCAAACTCTTCCAAACAACTGTTGATGAGGGAGTACTTCCAAACACATTTTATGAGGCTCATTTTATCCTGAAACCAAAATCAGAAAGACACTACAAGAAAAGAAAACTACAGGCCCGTAACTCTGATGACTACAGATGCAAAAATCCTAACCAAGTACTGCCCTGTTCATGGGGGTCTACAATGCTGCAGCTGCTATGTAAAACAGTATGGAGGTTCCTCACAAAAATAAAAGAAGAACCACCACATGATTTGGCAATTTTACTTCTGGGTACATATCCTAAAGAATTCAATTCAGTGAGAAGAACACAATATTACTTCTATATTATTCCTGCCAAAGATGCATAACCTGAACCAAATCATTAAGAAACATTAAACAAACTTAAATTGAGGGATATTCTAATTGGTCTGTATGCTTCAAAATTGTCCAATGTCATAAAAGTTAAAAGATTCGGAAATGGAGAAACTGTCCCAGATTAAAAAAGACTAAAGAGACGACTATTATAACACGTGGTGCAAGATTATCTTTTCTATAAAGAACATTAATTGGAACAACTAAGTCTGATAAGGTCTGCAGGGTGGGCCCCTCGATAGTGGATACTAACAGCATGATTCAGCATGGGGGCAGGTCACCCGAGAGAGACCAGTCACGTGATTAGAGGTTTGAGGCTTTGAGCTACAGAATATCAGCCCAGTCTCCTGGGAGGGCAGACTAGAAACTTGCAAAGTTGCTGTTAGGGAAGGTGAATGCTGAGTCAAGCAGGGAATGATTTAAGCAACCATAAAAAATTCCCAATAAAAACTGGACACCTTGGTTCAGTTTTTGGTTCCTTGCCTACGGTCATGCTGAGAACAACAAAAGCTTCACGTTTGGAACCTTCCCAGACCTGCCCCTATGCATCTCTCCCTTCGGTGGATTCTGATTTGTATCCTCTTGCTATAATAAAACTGTAACCATAAGTGCAGGGCTTTCCTGAGTTCTGTGAGTCATTCTAGTGAATTATAGAGCCTGAAGGTGGTTGTGGGACTCTCAGAAATTTGAAGCCACCTATGACCCATCTGAAGAGAGGGTGATCTTTTGGAGGACTGTGCTCTTAACCTTCAGTTTGGCCAACTCATTCAACTCTTTTTACAATTAATATTAGAATGCTGAATATGGTTTATTCCTCATTTCTGGTAATATTTTTGCTGGTGTGTTTTCCTCCACTGTAGAAAAGATTCACTGCTCTTTTTGTTTTGTTTTGTTTTTTAATTTTAAATATATGTTTATTGATTTCAGAGAGGAAGGGAAAAGGAGAGAGTCTGGGCTGTAGGCTCAGTCTCCAGTGGGAGGCATGCAGGAGGCAGCTGATCAATGTTTCTCTCTCATCAATGCTTCTATTTCTCTCTCCCTCTCCTTTCCTCTCTCTGAAATCAATAAAAACATTAAAAAACAACAACATATGACTGATGATGTCCTTCCTTTACTCAATATCCTCCAATGGCCTCCTACCTTACTCTAACGCAACGCAGAGTCCTACAGGGCTAGACTGTCAGTATTTGAATCTCAGCATCACTATTAATGATCTGTACGACCTCAGCAGGTTGCTTAATCTTTCCACATCCATAAAATGTATCTCTACCTTGTGAGGATGTAATGAGCATTTATAGAAATTAACTCATTAAGAACTAATATATAGTAGGGCTCAACCAATGCTAACTGGCTATTATAATTTTGTACTAGAGGCCCGGTGCATGGATTTGTGTACATTGAAAGGAAATTAATTAGAAGGTGGTCAACGGGGCGGAACTGGGAGAGACA